ATTTCTAGGTTAAGTCAATTTTTTTTAAAATTAACTTTCTAATTTTATTTGAACCTAGGCCATTTCTCAATGACTGTATAATTTGATAAATGTGAATTTTTTACCACTCATTTCTGCCTCATATATTATTATTTCACATCATAATTTTAAAATATTTTTATCATAACTTTAAAATATTGATATTTTCATTTAAAATAATTTAAATTTACCTTGTTTTTCCTGACTTTGACTTTGCAGCACGAATACATTCAGAAGGAGAAGGAACCGAGAGGCAAATACCATTAATGAAATTTACATTTGAAAGAAAAGAATTAATCACATCATCTGAAACATTAAGTTATCAAACGAATAACACTAATATGTAAGGTTTAGTTCTTCTACTGTTTACCATCTTTTTTTACACTAAATAATTTTAAAACATAGATATAAATTATATTACATAAGTAAATTTTAGATATACATAAATTAGTAGCAAATTATAAATTAGCCAAAATCTATATCTTATTTGATTTAATTTGTTTTATACTTACTTTCGTGAAAATTATTTATGATAGTGATATTAATCTGTTTACAAAATCTAACTATACTTATAATATTAATAATTTAAGTTTTTTTTTTTTTCTCTATTCCGGAGATCATATTAATTTCCGGCAAAAATAGTATCGTGTCGTCACACTATTACTCAATTATGCAATATTAATATTGTAATAAATAGCAAATTGAAAAATTCCATTGATCTAAAAAGTTATTATATCTTACATTCATAAAAGTTATTTTAAATTGCTATAATTCATGAAAAATCTATGAATGGAATAAATATTAAAATTGTATAAAATATTAAAATTGACTTTAATAATAACAAAATATTTATTTGATTATAGAGAAACAGCGAAAATAAATTATGATCGAGAGGAAGCATTAAAAGAATTAAATAATTTCATTCAATGGTTTCAACGACATCCATTGGAAACAATGATGCTACTATTATTCTTTATTGCATTATTTGTCGCAATTTTTAATTAAATATTATAAAATAAATTTATCAATTTTCATCTCAAATAATAACATTTTAAACTGTTTTCATACAATTATTTTCTCATTTTGAAACAATTAATTAATTTTTCATTACCAAAAATTATGTTTGTTTGATTTATAAATTTAATGAACAGTTTGTTTCAATATTTCGAAAAATAACATTCGAGAAAAAAAAAATAACATTCATCTAATTTCCGGTATGAGTCACGTCTCCGACAACATTACGTTTCACGATGTTCGTCTAATTTCTACGGCACGTCACCGTTTCGTAACATTCATCTAATTTCTGCATCACGTACAGATATGCGTCACGTCTCCGATGATATTACGTTTCACAACATCCACCTAATTTCTGCATCACGTAGAGATATGAATCACGTCTCCGATAACATTATGTCTCACAATATTTGTCTAATTTTTGCGCAACGTCTTCGATAACATTACGTCTCACAACATTCGTCTAATTTCTGCGTCACGTCTCCGATAACATTACGTTACGTAACACTCGTCTAATTCCTACATCGTTCCGTAACTTCGGTTTTGTTTTTTGGACGTCCGCAAAATATTATCTTTAATGCTAGCATCTTCCAAATTTATATATCATTTATTATCATTTGATAATTCATAATAATTCTACTGTATTAATTAATTCCACAAATTAATTTTGATTAATTTAACATTTCCTTGCTCATTGTAAATAAAAATCAGATCAGAAGAAAGAAAAAGAAGAAGAAATCATAAAAAAATATATCATACGCCATATAATAATTAAAAAAAAAAAAAGAGAAAAACATTAGTATTTCTGGTAAAAAAGAAAGAACAAATTATAAATATATATTTTCATATTATTACTTCTCAAATACAACCATTCATTCTTTTTTGTAAACAAATAAATAAAATAAAATAAAAAAAGAAAAAAAAAAATTTACTTGAGTGGTATTTGACGGTTTGCTGCTTTTTTCACATACTCAATTATTTGTCAAAAATTTGCAATGTATTTATTTCTTCATATTTCCTTCTCATATCAGGTTGTTTTTTTCATAAATTGCTGATAATTTTATCATTATTGTTTGATATATCTTTTTTTTTTTTTAAGTATAATTAGGAATAAAATAATTAAATGCGAAATCATATTTTCTTTTATTTTTTTTTTTTTACAAATTGTTATTATTTTTTTGATTAAATGATTAGGAAAGCAATGTTTGCGCAAAATGTTATAAATATTATTCTGATGAATATAATTTTTAATTAATTGCAGTATTTTTTTTTGTTGTTTTGTTTTCAGGATTCGAATTTATTGATAAAATGGAAGAAGAAATAAGAGGTGCAATACTATCGAATAATAGCACTACTACTACTAATAGAAGTAATAGTAGTAGTAGTAGTGTTAATAGTAATAGTATCAATAATGCTAGTACTAGGAAATTATCATATTTATCAAGAGTTGAAAGCAATATAACAATTCTATCTGGTATATTTCCATTTTCATCTCAAGTTACATCATCGTTATCATCATCATCATTATCATCATTTGATAATATCATGACTGATCATTCCAAGGTATGTTCATTTGAAAATTTACATTTTAATATTTTAATTGTTGTTTCTAGAACTAATATTACTATAATTGTGCTTACAAACGTTTATCCCTTAGATTAATTTGATTATTTAATATTTATCAAATGATGAGATCTATTCAGTAATTCATTAATGCATAATAATATAATAATGGTTGAAAAAATAGTTTTACAATTTTGTAATTTAAATAAATTTAATTGATAATAATGTTAATATCTAGGTTTGTCGATATTGTTTATCAGATGATGAAACTAGTGAATGGTTAGCACCGTGTAAATGTATTGGAACAATGAAATGGGTTCATTTGAGTTGTTTCGAGCAATGGCTTTCATTTGCGCCTTATGCGATGAAATATAGCTGTGCTATATGCAGGTAAAAACGTTTGTCGTTTTAATTTTTTAGTGAAATTAATTTTTATTTTAACAGTTCATTAATGTGTAATAATATAACATTATTCAGCTATTATTATTATTATAAATACGGTGTCTTTGATTAGAATTATTATAAAGTTTAATATTATATGAACAATGATGTTAACAAAGTAACTTAACTAGCAAGTTAATACTATTATTGTTCCTTTTTTTTTTGAGTCTTTTTAGTTTTCTTATCGATCAGCTAAGAAATGAATAATAAAGTAATTTCCAGTTATGTGTATCGACGTCAATGGAAATTAAAATCTTACAAAAATTGGCATTGGCCACAATTTCATCTACGTATAACCGATCTTTTGGGAATATACTTTGATATAACTCTTACTTATCGCATATATCGTTACTTTCCACGTTGTTTGGATAATAGGGTTACATTCTTCCTCTATGCAAGCTATCTTTTGCTTTGGAAATTAGTTGTCCTTAGTAGAATGAGACTTAATTTTTATTCAAATATTGTGTATGATATTATTACATCGATATGCTCGTCGAAGGTGCTTGATGCATTGTAATCGCTTATTAGTAGTGTTATCACCTTTTTTTTTTTTCTTTGTAATTCCACTGATGCATTTTTGGTAATTTTTAAAGAATAGAAGTTTGTAGCTAATTATTTTTGATATTGTTCAAAGTAAATTAGCTTTAAATTTAAATACGATCTTCATATAAAATCTCATCTTTATTTGGACCGTGATTTTTATCTTCATTAATCCGATTTTTTCCTTTTTCTTTTTCTTTTTTTTTTTTTACTCATTTTAAATTGTTTTTATCTCTTCACTCATTTTAAATTGTCTTTCAAATTTCAGTTTTATTAATTAAAAGTCTTTCGAGTGCGTATTGCACAAAATTCATAATTTATCAAATGATAAGCTTTCTATGCTTTAATAGTGTATATTTTCAAATTATTCATTGTATTGAATAATCATCATCTGATAGATATATATATGTACGATTTGTATAAGTATGCGAAAATTTATGCGAAAAAAGAAGGATAAATATCTTCTCTCTTTTATTTATTTTAGTTTTTTCACTGTTTTAATGATGAAATGATTATCTTTAATGCTTACTGTCTTTTTTAAAACGATAATTAATTAAGTTTATATGAGTTGAGTACTTGAAAACAGGAAATATGTGAGCAATTTAAAATTTTACCCATTTATGCAATGCTTCCATACAATTACTTTTGGATAACATTCCTATCGATTAAAAATTTAAGTCGTTATTAATTTCTCTCTTTAGTTTATTAATTATTGGTACTCTAGTTTATTAGTTTAGTACTGTAGTTTATTAGTTTATTCTTTAGTTTATTTAATGGAAATTTTTAATTGCGAGAATGAATAGGGTTAATTTTCAAACAAAACAAGAACAAAAATAGAAGTGCATTATATCATTTTGTTATAGATGGTTCATTTTTTTTTTTTTTTACTATAATTAAATTTATGAATTAAATAACTGCCATGTAATTTGATATAAATTATTAATTGAGCGAACAATCATATTATATTTGTAATTTAAAAGTCCAAAAATTATTTATCATATATTTTTGTAATTCTGCGATGCATCATTACGTGTATTAAATGTACTTTATTTGATGGCTATCTGATGTTTTTTTTTTTTTTCGATAAATTATTAAATTTAATATAGTTTGTGTTTGAAAATTTTTGGTTGGAGGTATAATGTAGTTATTTTTCTGCATAATATATTTCTCTTAATATGGTTTACATTTTACAATGTTTCAGGTTTTGATTATGCAAAAGCTATGAATTTTTTCCTTTTTTTTTTCAAAAAAACAATTTCAGCTGGATTTAATTTAATGGATAATTTAAGTTTAACAGAGAGTTAGAATTTTTATGAGTACTTTATGAATTAGTTTGAAAATTTAACTTACAATTTAAATGTTTTTATATTATTTTTTATAAATGCTTTAATTTTCAGTTAAGAAAGTGACTGAAAGGAATAGTTATGCATCTTGAAAGTATAAAAAACGATAACTGGAAGATATGCCAATCATTGGATGATAAAACTAATAGTGATGATGATAATGATGATCAATTTTCACGAACAAATATGAAGGTAACAATAATGATTATTTCATTGATTTATTATAAATAAATTTTAAAAAAGAAAAAGTAAGAGAGAAATAAATTTTGCTATTAGTGATAACAGTTTTTTTTTTTTATTTTTTTCTTTTTTTTTTATAGATTTGTAGATTTTGTTATGTGGAAGGATCGAATGAAATTGATTGGCTTAGACCTTGTAAATGTTCTGGTTCAATGTTATGGGTTCATAAGCAATGTTTTAATTTTTGGTTGGGTAAAGCATCTGGAAGAAGCAAAATACAATGTCAAATATGCAAGTAAGATAAATTTTCAATCAAAATTTGAAAGATTTGTTCATTCATCAGAATGAAATTACTAAATGAAAATAACAAATACATTTTTTTTAAAGTATTATTAGTGAAAAAAAAAAAAAAAAAAGAAGTATAACTTCAGAATGACATGTAATCATTTGGAATTTTTATTATATTTCAACTGCTTAATTTTTGCAATATATTTTTAATGGGTGTTAGTTGGTCAATGATAATATTGAATATTTAAGTATAACTATTCTATTTTAGCATATATTTTCTTTTTTTTTTATTCTGAGATAACATTTATCTAAATACTATTACAGATTCAGATATAAGAAATTATTGCTTTTGAAGCCTTGGAAAGAATGGTGTTTACCGGATTTGCATTTATCATTTGTTGATGTGTTAGAATTGTTATTCGATGCATACTTTTTATATCGAATGAAATTTATGCATACGATAAATAGGCCAATTTCATTAGTGGTTAGAATACTTCGAACATCGTACATTCTTCATCGATTTGGTTTTTATGTGAGAGTTTTCTCAGCTGTTGCATCTTCATTTTTTAGTGTTGTCATTATTGATGCTGTTTAATTGAAATTAGATTTAATGATTTTCTCCTTTTTTTTTTTTCTTTTTTAATATAACAAAATTTTTTTGAATTATAATAGAAATACAGCGAAACCATATTTTTTTATATATTTTCTCTGTGATATATTAACATATCTGTGTAATGTATAACTAATGAAATTCATAAAAGTAATTTGAAATTGAAAGAACTTAATTGAGCAGTATCAAGTAAAGTATATATTGAGAATCCCGATTTGAATAATTTGGTTTTAATAGAGAAGAAAAACAACAACAAAATAAAAAATGACTTAAAATGAAGATTAAGAGAGAGAGTGTGTGTGTGTGTGTGTGTGTGTGTGTGTGAAGATTAGAATAAAAATTTAAATTGGTAATTCAAAAGTTATAATAAAATAGATTCAGGATTTGTTTCATCGATGAGAAAGATATGTCAGAAATAATAGAGTATAACTATATTTTCTTTTTTGGTGTAAACAAAATAATGGAAAATGTAAACGGTATGAACAATTATTCATTTCAAATACAAGAAAAAAAAAAGGTGAAATAAATGGTTGATAAGAAAATAAAACAAAAAAAAAAAAAAAAAGATATATAAATTAGTAATGTGTATTTAAATAAAACTGGACATACTTTTTACTGATAAAAGTTTCTTTAATTTTCGAACATTTCAAATATCACTTTGATAATTCACTTATTTCAATATCAATGCATGATCAGAATATTTAAGATTAAAATGTTGTTTGTTGTAAAAAATGATTTAATTGCATGAAATTATTTTATGATGTAATAATTTTAACAAATTTTTATTGTGCATGTTTTGTTTAACCTCTAAAAAATGTTCATTTTTTTTGATGTGATAAACAAGATCACTTATCATTGATCTAATTAAAATATTTATCATATAGTTTTATTTGATTACATTGAATTATTTGATAATGATTAAAATTGATTAATCAATATTTTGTTTTAACTCATTACTGTGCATTTTTGTTATTCAAATAATTGCACTGATTATTTAGTAGTATTTTGTATATTTATGGTTCATTTTATTTACATTCATTCTTCGTTTTTATTTATTTTATTTTATTTACTAATTTTTTTTCATGCTAAAAGAGAAAAAAATTCACAATTCATACAGTATATGTGTAATGTTTTTTCTTAATAATATGAAATAATATTTAAAAAAATACTTAAATAATCTATTGATTATTGTTGATATATACATATTATATCATTACTTAAGTATAATTGTTTATCGTAATTTTTATTTGTTAAGTTAGCTAATAGTGATTAAACAAAGAAACTGAGAAATTATCAGATGAAAGATTAAATAATATAAATATATTTCAATTCATTCATATTATCTTCTCATTAATAAATTTTGAATAATTTGCCAAAATTATTTCTTTAGTAATTTAATTTTACTACAATATTGTTTTAATTATACATTTAAAAAAAAAGGAAAGTATTAATAAGTGATGAGTAATATTAAACTATTTTGGTATATAATTTGAAAATTGTTATTTTGAAATAATTATGAATAAATAATATAATTGAATTAGATGAGAAAATTTTTATTTAAAAGGGATGTTTATAATCTAATTTATGTTTATTTATTAAACAATTGCTTTATTCTTTAATTAGAACAAGTATTATTAATTCATTCTTTAATTTATTATTTATTTTTAAGCATTGATTTTCAGTTAAAATGTTTTTGGATGATTTGAAGGATTATTTGTCGAAATTGTTAGTTTCATTGGTTTTATGGATAACTGATGATCCTGGCTCATTTTTTATGATTTTATTATTATTCATTGCACCATTCCTATTAATTACTGTTGTTCTTTCATGGAAACTTCATAAAGCAATTAAAGTAAGTTTTTCTTTTTTTTTTTTTTTTTTGTTTTTTCAATTTTTAATTTATCAATTTAATCATCAAAAAAAAAAAAGGAAAGAAAGAAAGAAAGAAAATTGAAATATTAATTCTAAAAAAAAAAATGTTATAAATTAAAAAAGAATTGAGAAATTTTTGAAATCATTAAATCTTGTTGCTATGTTTTTTTTTTTTCTTTCTTTCCTTTCTTTTTGATCATAAATTAAACTTTATTCTAAATTTGAAATGATATTATTAATATAATGAATTTTTTTTTTTTTTAATTAATTGTAAAAGAAGAAATTTAAAAAAACAAAAAAAGGAAAAAGAATTTTAGATGGAAAAGAAACGTAAAAAGTTGCAGAAAAATAATGTACGACGTAAGAAGAAAGAATAAGCAAATTTATCTATGATTTTTTTACCTCAAATATTTCTGTATTTATGTGAAATTTATGAGTAAAAATTTATATCAAAAATTTGAAAGTTGTCTTTATCTTTTCTTTTTGTTTTTCATTTATTTGAACAAATTATTATTTTTGATTCAAATTTGTTGTTTCTTTTCCTTTCTCTTTTTTTTTTTTTTCAGTTTGTTTATGAATGTTTAATATAAATATTTGACAGATTGTTAAGAGTAAGAGCTATTATATATCATAATTTAATCATTATTTGTTTCAAAGTATTTTTTCGAGAATGCCACTTTCGAGAATTTATCAGATGGAAATTTATTTTTCAAATACGAGAATAGATATATTTTACATCTAGGAAAAAATGAATAATACTAACAACTGACTACACAAAAGTTTTTGTACTAATTGCAAAAATTGATTCTTAAAGATTTTTTTTTTTAGAAAGAATCATTTATTCATTTAAGTACTGAAATAATTTCGAATCAAATTTTTATTCATTTAAAAAACATTTCAATTATATCAGAATTAAAATTTTATCCATTTAAAAGACATCTCAATTATATCAGAATCAAAATTTTATTCATTTAAAAGACATTTCAATTATATCAGAATTAAAAATTTCATTTAAAAGACATTTCAATTATATCAGAATTAAAAATTTCATTTAAAAGACATTTCAATTATATCGGAATCAAAATTTTATTTATTTACTTTTTTCATACAATTTTAATATTTTTATAAAAAGACATTAGCATAAAATATTATTCAAATATGCATACTTTAACAAATTATCACTTTTTTTTTTTATTTTTCATAAATCTTCCAAAAATTTGACCAATTTTTGAGCAATTTTATAATGTATGAATGTTGATGGATACCATTGATTATAATAAGCATAATCGAAAGCTTTAAGTGATCTGAAAATTATTGATCTGCTTTAAGTGATCTAAAAATTATTAACCATTGATCTGCTTTAAGTGATCTGAGGATTATTAATCATTGATCTGCTTTAAGTGATCTAAAAATTATTATTCATTGATCTGCTTTAAGTAATCTGAGGATTATTAATCATTGATCTGCTTTAAGTGATCTAAAAATTATTATTCATTGATCTGCTTTAAGTAATCTGAGGATTATTAATCATTGATCTGCTTTAAGTGATTTAAAAATTACTAATCCATTGATCTGCTTTAAGTGATCTAAGAATTATTAATCACTGATCTGCTTTAAGTGATCTAAAAATTATTAATCACTGAATATACCTTTTTTTTTTATTATCATTCATTCAAATAAATGATAAATGAAAAAATTGCCTTAAATTTTAAAATTGAACCTTTATCGAACATTTATGAAATTAAATTTCAAAATTGAACCGCTATCCAGTAAAAAAAAAAAAATTAGCAAAATCATTGTAAACAAACGTACGTCATATTATTTTGTTGATACGTGAATGATTCATTTGTATTTAAACCTCTTACAGCATCAATAATTGCACCATTCAAATCAAACAATCGAATTTGTCGAGTGTCATAACCTTTGATTGTCATTAATCTCCAAAGTTTCTAAAATATAAAACGAAGAAATGAAAAAATAATTTGAACATTTGAAAATTTTATTTTATATTAAAATTTAAATTGAATGTTACTGATATATGTAATACTTTTTTCATTTATTTGCATAAAAATTTGTGATATATCTAATCATAGTTTTATACTTTCTCATAACGCTTATCATTTTTTTAGTAGTAATTGTGCTGATAAAAATGTAAACAATTTGAAATAAATGCTATTATTATTATTATCACTATTATTATTATTATTATTGTTATTATTATTATTATTATTATTGTTATTACTATTATTATCATTATTGTTATTACTATTATTATTATCATTATTACTATTATTATTATTATTATCATTATTACTATTATTATTATTATTACTATTATTATTATTGTTATTACTACTATTATCATTATTATTATTATTACTATTATTATTATCATTATTACTATTATTATTATCATTATTACTATTATTATTATTATTATTATCATTATTACTATTATTATTATTATCATTATTACTGTTATTATTATTATTATCATTATTACTATTATTATTAATATTTGTTATTATTATTATTATCATTATGATCATTATGATTATTATTATTATTATTACTATTATTATTATTATCATTATTACTATTATTATTAATATTTATTATTATTATTATTATCATTATGATTATTATTATCGCTATTATTATTATTATTATTATTATTATTATCATCACTATTACTATTATTATCATTATTACATGTTAATATACCGAATTGATATGTGAAATCATTGAAGATAATTTCAAATTATCATTTCCATTTGCGATTAACATTGCATAACCAGGTGTTTCATATGGATCAATCAAATTCATAATTATGATAATACCTTGAAAATTTTTTCATAATTAGAAAAAAGAAAAATGTTTAACATTGATAGGAAAAATGATAAATTATTTATTTCCTCTTTTTATGATCTTTACAAATCGATATTTAAAACACATTTAAACTTTTAAAACATATTTAAATTTAAATTTAAAACACATATAAACTTTTAAGACACATTAAAATAAAAGTTTAAACCATATTTAAATTTAAAAAACATCTAAAAAATTTGAAATATATTTAAATTCAAAAAAAACATTCAGCTAAGTTATCATTCAGCTAAATTAGCTTTTATTATTTTTTTTCATCCTTTTTAATCTAAATTATTAAAATTCTGTGAGACGGAAAGTTTTTAGCTCCAAATATTAAAGGAAAAGTTTTAAAATTTGAAAATATATTTTAATCAGTTCAAAAAATAAAACTATTATTTGTGTAATTATAATAATAATAATAATAATGTTTCCTTATTTTTTTGAATTTGAAATATAATTTGAAATTAAGTTTACAAAAAATTCACAAACAAACAAACAAAAAAAAAAAGAAAGAAACAACCATTATCCACTGTATTGATTAAACCTAACACAGCATTTGCTATATTATCATTAATCTTATCAATGCTAATTCTTTTATCAGTGATATCATTTTGTTGATGCAATATTAATTCCGATAATCCACCAACTTGTAAAATAATCAATGAATCTAAAATGTAAAATATTGCTAAATTAATTTCAGTTTTAATTTATTGAATAAAAAAAAAATTTTATCATTGATAATAAAAATAGCTTATTGCATTAGCTATCATCGAAAAGTGAAAACTAATCAAAATTCATTTAATTCATAAAGAAAAAAGTAAAATAATCAAAGCAATTTATTTTAATTTATTCTTCTTCCCAAAAAAAAAAAAAATTTAAAAAAAAATATTTTAATCAAATAAATTAAATTTTTTAAAATTTGTAGAAAACAAATATTTTTATTAAAAAAGAGAATGTTGTAGTCAAGTAAATTAAATTTTAACATTTTTAGAAAACAAATTTTTTTAATTGTTTTTATAATTGAAATTTTTAATATGATATATGATATGATATGATATGATAAGATATTTTAAATGCTAATACAATTATAAATTTATTTATTAAATTTTTCTTAACCTTTTGGTATGATACGATGATTCATGCAATGATATTCAATTTGCCATAGTATTCCTGACCAATCAGAGAAAAATTTATTATTATAACCACTTTGTGCTCCACTATATGCATAATTAATATACTAAAACAAGAAATTAAATAATTAAAATTAAATTAAAATTAAGAATTCAACAAAAAACAAAAAATTTATTTGCCACTTTTTCCTCTCTTCTTTTTCCTCTTATTTCATCGAAATTATTCCTAATTTTTTAAAAATTATTTTATCAATTAATTAATCTAAAAACAAAAGCAAAAAAAAAATTAGGATGAAATTATTTATAAATTTTTTTTTTTTTGCATCCTATTAATTAATTAATTATAAAAAAAAGAAAGAAAAAATTGTGGAAAAAAGAATTATATCTTTCTTTTTTCCATCTAATTAATTAATTTAAAATTGTAAGCAATAATTAATTAACTAATTTAAAATTGTAAACAGCAATTAATAAATAATTAATTAATTAATTTAAAACTGTAAACAATTAAAGGTAATAATTATTTATTAAATTTAACAAAAAAAAAAGACGAAAGAAAAGAAACGAAAAAAATGAATTTTTTTTTTTTTTTTTAAATGCTAATATAATAAATTAGCATAAATTATTTTATTATATTAGCAATTATTTGAACAAAAAATAAACAAAAACAAAATTAGTTAAAAATTTTGTTTTTTATTTTTTAAAATTACTTATCTCATCACATTGAAGCATTTTATTCAAATATTCTGGCCATACTGGGCCATTTGAATTTCTTGCAAAGCCATGCGAATGTGTGCTAAATTCAATTCCATCATCTGTTAAATCATCACCAAATATAATTAGCTGTGAACATGGCACATTATGTGGCTAAAAAAAAATTATTAATAAAAAAGAAAGTAAACAAAAAAACTCACAAATATAAGTTTTAAAAGTATTTTAAAAAAGAAACAAAAGATAAAAAAAAATTCGATCAAATTTTATTTGAATTAATTTATAAATATAGTTTTGAACATTTTTTTTTTTGTTTGTTTATTTTGTTTGTTTATTTTTATTTAAATTTCATTTAAAAGATTTAAAATAATTTTGCAACACTTCGTTTTCTTTTTCTTTGACATTTTACTAAAAATTATTTCGAAGATTAGTGTCACTCATTCCATTAGTGAATGGAATTAATTATTCATTAATTAATGAGCTAATTTAATTTATAATAAATTAATGAGTTAATTTAATTAACAATAAATATTGTTAATGTTATTATTATTATTATTATTATTATTATTATTATCACTATCACGATCGCTATCATTATCAGAAGAACAAGAAAGACAAAACTTACTTATATCATCAAATCATTTTGTTTTAATTTTTTGCTTTTTTTAAATTTACCTGGTAATAAATATCTTTAAAAAAAAAAAAAAAAAAAAAACTTTACTTATCACATCTTATCTTATCAATCAAACAATTCATTATAAAATGTTAGTAATAGTATGATAAAATATCAAATGAAATTTTTAACTTACAAAATTAAATATCCATTTTTTTTTTATAAATTTTAACTTACATTTAAATTTATCAAATTCATTTATAGCAAAAATATTATATAACAAAAGAAAAAAGAAAAAGAGCAATTAAAATTTACTGATAAGTTAAAAAATGACTAATGGATAAGGTATTAAATGATAAATTACTTACCTTATGAAGTAAGTTAAATGTTTGCAAATGTGGTAGAATAATTAGTATTGAATGTAAGCTAATAAGCAACCTTATCATAATGAAATAATTTAAACTAAATTTACAAAAAAAAAAAAACTATTTGTTTAATTATTTAATTTTTTATACAAAATTAATCTTTGGTCGTTCTTTTTTTTTTAAAACAAAAAAAAAGAGAAATTTTTATTTTATAAACAGCTGCGCAAATTTTGATTAAAACCGTTCGTATCGTTTAAATCATTATCGTATAATTGTTAATCTATTTTTACAAACATTTTTTGTACAATTCTTGGAAAAAAAAGAATTCGTTTGTTTACTTTCTATTTCAGGCAGATTTGTTTAATTTGTTTACTTTCTATTTCAGGCAAATTTAATTTGTTTACTTTCTATTTTAGGCAAATTTTTGAATTTGAAATATAAAATGAATAGACAAATAATTCCCGAGAAAACATAAATTCTCTCTCTCTTTTTTTTTTTGATTATTATTTATTACAATAAATTTGTTTAGCTTCATAAAAAATTTTATAAAAAAAAAATTTTAAATATTTGAAAAATTTTTTTCTCTCAAATTAAATATATTAATAAATTTCATTTGAAAAAGAAGAAAAAAAACACAATAATTCTGAGAAATTGATGAATTTAATTTTTGATGAAATTATTTTTCATTTGAATTTAATTGATGAATTTAATTTTTCAGTTAAACAATTTTAAAACTATAATTACTGATAATTATTAAAGTAATAATTAGTAAATTAAAAGTTCCAAATGTAATTAAAAAAAAAATTAATAGAAATAATATTAAATTAACATAAAGAACAAAAAATTAATACTAAAAAAGCGCATATAATAATTTTTTAAAAAAAAGGAAAAATTTTGTAAAATGTCGGATTTATTTAATAAATTTTTCTAATAATTATAATATTATTATTCGAATAAATGTTATTATCATTTCAAAGAAAAGAAATTAAAAAAAATATTTCTAAAAAAAAAGAAATAAAAAAATTTTTCAAAGAAAGAAAAATAAAAAATATTCAAATACTCATTTCACTATTACATTCTTACAATAACTTTTCCGGAAAATAGAACGGAATATTGGAATAATAATCAGGAAAGAAGAAAAAAAAAAAGGAAAACAATACCTGAATATACCTATTAAAAATGATAATGAAATGAAAAAAGAAATGCAAAATAATAATTTTAATTAAAATTTCATTAATTAAACACTAAATTTTATTATAATAATTTTATAGCTAAATGTTAAACAAAAATTGATTGTATTTTTATACAAAAATATTAAATTACTTATAAATTTTGATTAAAAATTGATTATATTTTTATACAAAAATATTAAATTAATTGTAAATTTTTTTCCGCTTTTTTTGATTGCTTTTCTTTTTTTTCTTGATTATTAATTAATTAATTAATTAATTTTTTTTTTTTAATAAATTGAAAGCATAATAAAAGCAAACATTTTAATTTCATTTTTCTCAAACAAATTGACATTATCAAAAGAGTAATAATATTAGTGATAAAAATTTAAAAAAAAAAACAAAGAAATATTGGGTAATATTTTTTGAATAAAGGAAAAAAAATTTTAAATGAATGATATTATGAAAAAATTATCAAATATTATCAATAAATAAAGCTAAAAATTAATGATAATGAAATTTAGTGTTAAAATTATTTTGTTATCATTTTTGATAAAAAGAACTAAAAAAATTTATTTTTTTTTTGAAGACTTATCACTTTATCATTCTTTTAATTTTTTTTTCTTTTAAAATATAAATTCTCATTTCAAATATATATATTAAATTAAATTAAAAGTAAAAAAGAGAAGGAGAGAGAGAGAGAGAGAGGAAAAGAAAGAGAGATAAGAGAAAGATTTCATTTTTAAAGGAAAAAAATTTCGTTTTTTTCTTTTTTGCTTCTAATAAAACAATAATAAAAAGTTAAAGTCAAAGTTTTTGATATGAAAGAATTTTAAAATGGAAAGAAAAAAAAAGATTGGAAAGAAAAGAACAAATTGTTGAATTTATCATTTTATAATAAAAGTACAAATAAGAAAAAAAGAAATAAAATGGGAAACAAAGAAAAGAAAAGAAAGAAAAAGGGAGAAAAAGAAAAGAAAAGGAATGTTTCACTTTGTTTATAACTAAAAGAAGAAGAGAAAGAGAGAGAGGAGAGGGACAGGCAGAGGGAGAGAGAGAGAGAGGGAGAGAGTAGCTTTCTTTTACAAAACATTGATGAAAATCATAATTTGTGAAAAGGAAGAAAGAAGAAGAGGAAGAAGAGGAGAAAAAAAAAGATATTTTCTTATTTCGATTATCAGTCAAACTGTCATTACCATTGACATTTGCTCTTACGTAATAATCTTACGGAACTGATTAATTTCATTCAATTCTTTATTCAATTTGTATAAAAATACTTTTTAATGTCTGATATGATATGATATTGTTATGATATGATATGATATGATAGTTATGATATGATATGATATTGCTATGATATGATATGATATGATATGATATGATATGATATGATATGGTGTGATATGATATGATATGGTGTGATATGATATGATATTGTTATGATATGATATGATATGATATGGTATGATATGATATTGTTACGATATGATATATGATATGGTATGATATGATATTGTCATGATATGATATGATATGGTATGATATGATATGATATGGTATATTATGATATGATATGATATTGTTACGATATGATATGATATGATATGATATTGTTACGATATGATATGATATGGTATGATATGATATTGTTACGATATGATATGATATGATATGGTATGATATGATATGATATTGTCATGATATGATATGATATGGTATGATATGATATGATATGATATGATATGGTATATTATATGATATGATATTGTTACGATATGATATGATATGATATGATATGGTATATTATGATATGATATGATATGATATTGTTACGATATGATATGATATGATATTGTTATGTTATGATATGATATGATATTGTTATGATATGATATGATATGATATGATATGATATTGTTATGATATGATATGATATGATATTGTTACGATATGATATGATATGATATGGTATGATATGATATGATATGGTATGATATGATACGATATGGTATGATATGATACGATATGGTATGATATGATACGATATGGTATGATATGATATGATATGATATTGTCATGATATGATATGATATGGTGTGATATGATATGATATATGATATGGTATATTATGATATGATATGATATGATATGATATTGTTATGTTATGATATGATATGATATGATATGATATGATATTGTTATGATATGATATGATATGATATGATATGATATGGTATGATATGATATGATATGGTATGATATGATACGATATGGTATGACATGATACGATATGGTATGATATGATACGATATGGTATGATATGATATGATATGATATTGTCATGATATGATGTGATATGGTATGATATGATATGATATGATATGATATGGTATATTATGATATGATATGATATGATATTGTTACGATATGATATGATATGATATTGTTATGTTATGATATGATATGATATGATATGATATTGTTATGATGTGATATGATATGATATGATATGATATTGTTACGATATGATATGATATGATATGATATGGTATGATATGATATGGTATGATATGATACGATATGGTATGACATGATACGATATGGTATGATATGATACGATATGGTATGATATGATATGATATGACAGCAATTTGATCCATAATATCTGCAATATCGTTGCATTAATTATCATGCAGTAATTATTATTATTGCCATTATCAATATTATTTATTATTACTACTATCATTATCATTATTATTATTATTTATTATTATTATCATTATCACTACAATTTATTATTATTAGTATCGAGTCAAAAATCTTCTTGGAATGTTCATATGCAATACATTAATTGTTATTATTTTTTTAGCATTATTATTATTTGTTATTATATGATTGCCAGTGTTATTGTCACCATTATTATTAATAACATTATTATTATCATTACTACTATTATCATCATAATTATTATTAATATTATTGTTATTATTAAACTTTATTATTATTACTATTACCACTTTTAGTTACGACTATCATTACCAGTATTATTATAATTACTAATATTAATATTACTAACATATTACTTTATTGCAGTTCATTATTACATTATTGTTGCTACTTCTGCTTGTTCTGAAATAAATTTTACTTTTTTCCTCGTCAAGTGATCTCGAACAATTAAGTTAGTATTATGAATAGCAGCAAACAGTCAGCATCGGATGTAAATGAAGTTTGTTTCTTTTTTTCCTTACATTTTAGTGAAATCATTCGCATTTGCTCTTTCATTAATTCTAAAAAAAAAAATATTTAGAAATTTTTTCACAAATAATAATAATAATAAATAATAATATATTATTAAATAGTAATAAATAATAATAATATAATTATAAATAATAATATGATATTAAATAGTAATAAATAATAATAATATAATAATAAATAATAATATAATTTAAATAGTAATAAATGATAATAATATTATAATAAATAATAATATAATATTAAATAGTAATAAAAAATAATAGTAATTGCATAATAATAAAAATATAATAATAAAATAACAAATAAAAATATAATAAATTTTTAGCGATAAAAAATGACTGATGAATTTTGAAAAGTTTTATAGAAATATTTGCAAAAAATTTTAATATAATATTATTATTGTTATTGCTATTATTATTATTATTTTTATTATTATTATTATTATTATTATTATTATTATTATTATTATTATTATTATTATTATTATTATTATTATTATTATTATTATTATTATTGATATAGTTTTATTACTATCACTTATTCAAAAAATCATAAAAAAGACAATCATTTATAAACAAAAAAACTTTTTATCATTTCATCTAACAAATATGAAATTCTATGATTATAACATAAAAAGTACTATGTGAATATTTTGGTACTTTTTTTACTTTTAAGATCACCAATTTAAATGATATTATCAGTTTTTTTTTTATTTCTTTCTCTACGAGAAATCAGTAAATAAATAAAAAGTTTTATGAAACAAAAAGGAAAAAATTGAAATTAATGTCACAAAAATTATACAAAACTAATCAGCAATATCTATTATCACAAATATATTTATCACTTGCTAAATATATAAATGTTTTTTATCATTTTTATCATTATCATTTCCTTTTGAATGATTTTGTATTAATTTTAGTGAAACGATATGTTCATTATCAAATATTATCATAATATCATGATTAATTTTTTTTTTTTAAACTAAAATAATAATTGAAATTACAGATTTGGGAAGATATTTCGGAATTCTTAGACAACAAACATTTTGGTATTACAAATACACAATGCTTCTTCACTTCCTTATCACCGCTTGATACGGCTAAAATTAATCATCAACACTCTCGTGCTCTTCAAGTTTGATCTTCAATTTTTTCCCTTTTATTTTTTATTATTTTTTTCAACTGTAATGATGATAATGACAATGATAATAATAGTAATTGATAACAATAGTTTAATGATGATAATGGTGATGATTAGCAATAATACTACTGTTACTATAATAATAGTAATAGTAATAATAATAAATAATAGATGATAAATAAGAAATATTAGAGTTTAATTTGAATATTAAGAGAATAATAGTGATAATAATAATAATAATAATAATAATAATAATAATAATAATAATATTAATATTAATAATAATAATAACAATAATATTAATATTAATGATAATAATAACAACAATAATAATGTTAATAATAATAATAGTAATAATAATAATAATAATAATAATAGATGGTAAATAACAAATAAAAATTAGAATTTAATTTGAATATTAAGGAAATAATAGTGATAATAATAATAATAATAATAAATAAATAAATAATAGATGCTAAATAACAAATATTAGAATTTAATTTGAATATTGAATAAGCGAGAGAGAGAGTTATAATAAGAATAATTTGATTGATTGGCCTGAAATTAAAATGACTGGAACTTGTGATATTATACAATTGTTAAAAAAAAAAAAAAAAAACTATCGGTCTCCGTATTATTGAATCTTTTGAATTACAAAATTATTCGTTTCCAATATTTCTGATTGATTCAACAAATCAATTTTTTGCTTTCAATAATAATAAAAATAATAATGATATATTATATAAGAAAATTTTTTATCGTATACAATTTTCGAAATATTTATTTCTAATTTTTTATAAAAATATTTGTATTATAAGTTTTTTTTTTTTTTTTTTTTGATAAGTTTAAAAATAAGTGGAAATAAAAATTTGTATAAAAAATATAATGAAATTATAATTTTAGATTTGTAGTACAGATTGGACATTACGTGATCCACCAATTGTTCTCAGTTTGCCACCAATACCAAAAAAACATAAAATTAAACAGAATGAAATAATCAATGAAAATGAAATGTTATGTTATCAAGCAGAAGAAACATTTCAAAGCTTTAATTATCCATCATTTATTTCATCAAAACTTGAAACAATAACACAAATGCCTATTTCATCTTCTATTTACTCCCAATCTATCGATGGATTATTTGATGCAAAAATAAACAATCCTTCTACCAATCAATTATCTACAACAACAACAACAACAACAACAACAACAATAACAACATCAGCACCATCATCATCATCATCATCATCATGCGATATTCATACAATGAGCACATCATCCATATTACAATTAACAAGGTAAATTAATTACCAACATTTATTAAGTAAGTAAAATTTAAAAAAAAAAAAAAAAAAAAGGAAATAATAAACATTATAGATTTTTGAGTTAAAAATAAATGAATAAAAAGAAAAAAAAAATTGAATTTACAGATTACTTAAAAATAATTCATCAATAAATGAAAAAGAAGAAGACATAGATGGACAACAATTGTTGAAAAAAAATTTTTCCATTTATGAATGTAATCATCCGGGATGCTCAAAAAAATATAATAAAAGTTCACATTTAAAAGCTCATATGAGAACACATAGTGGTGAACGACCATATCATTGTAGTTGGCCATCATGCTTATGGAAATTTGCACGAAGTGATGAATTAACAAGGTAATATTTAAATTCACTTTTTTTTTTAATAATCATTCAATTTTTCTTAAAAAAAAAAAAAAATTAACAATTTAAATAATATATTAGTAATGCTATATTTTTTGAATATTTAAAGTAAAAAAAAAGAAAAAATTAATAGATTATTATTAAATAATGCAATCTGAAGCAATAAAATATAATTATTAAATTTTTTTTTTTTTTAATAGCTTTTAATTTTTAGCATAATTTTATTGCAATTTTTTTTTTCTTTTTTTTTCAGACATTATCGAAAGCATACCGGTGATCGTCCATTTAGTTGTACCTTGTGTTGTCGATCATTTTCACGTAGCGATCATCTTAATTTGCATATGAAACGTCATTACAGCGGTTATAAGTACCATAATTATTTCTTATTTAAGAAAATTATATCTCATTCTGATTGCATTCCATTTAATGTTTCAAAAAAATTTGTATATAATTTCATTAAAAGCATCCATAAATACTACAATAATCTGTTCATGATAACATCGAAAGAAGAAATGAAATGAATTTCATATTTATAATTTCACACAAAAAGGAAAAAAAAAGAAATCTTATATTTCAGTATGTTAAAAAGTACGATGTGCTTTATAGCCGAATCAACAAGTCGAGAAGAATTTAAACAAAGAAACGTTACTAAAGAAAAACAAATAAAATACATTGGAAATGATAAAGTTATTATGTTGTAAATGATACCAAGAAATTAACTTCATTACTAAAGAAAATATGAATAAATATTTAAATGCTTACTTCACTTTTTCAACTGTAGGAATTAACAAATATGCTCGAAAAATGTAAGACAGTAAAAAATTGGTACTCAGTACAATAACAAAGAATAAATCAAGCATGTTTCAATTTGAAAAAACAAAAAATTCCAATTGAAATAGATTAAAATTTCATGCTGGAATGAAAATAAATACCAATGGAAATAAACTTGTTTTTGCCAGTTATTACAATAGTAAGCATTATGTTGTCATATCAATATAATAATCAGCTTATAGCAGTAATATTTTGTATATATACAAAAATGAACAAATAATATTAAGGAGGTGGTATTCTTGGAAAGACAGGTAATATATTATTATATTGCGAATTGGTCGGGATAAATGTAATCGATGTTTGTGATTCCAAATTGTTTACTAATTGAACTGTACGTGGATCACAACGTGGAGCTATTGAATCCGATGCTAACGAACGGTTCGACGCCCTTAATGAGCAAAATCAATTTTTAGTTAACATTATATAGCACTCGTACAAATTAAGTTAACAAAGTAATATTTAAATTTTAGAATGCTATTAATTGCTGTCCCGTTTTGCATTAGTTGTTTTAATGATATTAGCATAATGATAATGTTGAATTATTAAATTATAATACCCAGAATTTTTCATCATCAATTGTCGTGTTCTATTCAATTCTTCCAATAGTTTACGATTATTGTCTTCTGAAATAAAATAAGCACAATCCATTTTATTATGCAAAAGTCTCATTTCAAATCAGAAAAAGATGTTAAAAACTCATTTTCATTGCAATTATTAACAAGAACTGTCCATCTGCTTGTCTAACTGTTAATTTAGAATGTTAGAATACTGGAAAATATGATAAACTTTAAAAAATATAGTGATGAAGCAAGATTTTCTAACAATACAGTTTGTATTCTTTCTTATTTTATCTATTTAAAAAACATTTGTAAGAGAAAAAAAAGTTGTGATCATTTTACAAACACTTTTTCCACTTCACATTCATGGTCGTTAGTTAATTAATTAAACAACAAAAAAAAAAGTAGTCGAAACGCCACTAAAGGTAAATCATTTTGATTTTCAAATTTCTATCAATTGCTTAACAACCAAACTATAAGATATGGTGCTGCATTTCATGCATTATATCATTCAGTACAGTAATACTTATAAAATCTATACAGAATTTTAATTTTACTTAGTGATGATAATATATAGTTAAATATAGTTAACAGAAGAGTTATCACCAGAAGTGTTTCTATAAACAGTAAATGAACTTCTATAAACATAGAAGTTCATTTACTATGATTGCTGAATTTATTCTATCAAAAAAAAAAGAAGTGTTACCTTGTTTTGAAGATGCCATAATTTGGGTAGGAATAAACGTTACACATAGGAATACTTCACAGCAGAATCGCAAATAAATACTTTCAGTTCTCGTATATTTTTCTTTTCTCTATCAAATATATTAGTTTATGACATCATAAATTATCTTTTTTTAAAATAAAAGAATTACTGAAATTTACACGACTCACATTATTGAAATTTGTCAAATTGATCTTTTGCACACAACGATTTCATTCTTGCATCTCTAAATAAACGAACTATATGGCATTTATGTGTATATGACGTACGATTACACGTACAAAGATCACTTATATGTTTTTATGACCACCATTATGTTTCAATGAAATAATTAAGAAGTAACAGTAATATACATGTATTGTTTATCTGTTTTACAAAATAATATACAATAAGCAATGAATAAATAAGACGAAATGAATATGTATTCAAACATACGTAAACGTGAATACGTATGTAAATGCTGAAAATACACGTATAAATACATATGAGAAAATATGTAAACTAGAAAAGTACTACCTAATCGTAATTTTATCTTTTAAAGCATATGAATACGCACGAACACGTAGTATACGTAAATAATAGAGAGCATATAATGCAAACAAAAATTATTCTCTAACATTTTGCAATAATAAAATGAGAAATAATTAAGCATATGGGTACGTACGAACACGTAAAACACGTAAAATTTGCTCCTCTCATTTATGTTTACAATGCAACAAGAAATCTCAATTGAAATTCTTACAATTTAAATTCCCGCCTTATCGTATCATCGAACTTAATTTTAGGTGAAATTAGAGAATGAGTGGGTTGATGTGTTGCAGCGGAATATTTTTGGATGAAAAGTTACCGGGCATGTTTAGGCTAGCTGGTTATTTCAGGTTTAATATCAGGATACCCGGAATGATGGGTAATGTATGGGTAGGTAGGAGTGAGAGTGAGAACGGGAAAGGGAGAGATATGAAGGGAATATTGATGTATTATTTGAAATAAATAGAATGAATAGGATGATAATGATGTGTTAAATTTGTGATAGCCAAGTAATACTTTGTAGAGAAGTTTAATTAATTTTCATTATGAAAGAGTGAAATCATGAAAAGAGAGGGAGAGAGAGAGAGGGAGAGAGAAGGAGAAAAGAGGAAGAGGGAAAGGGAGGGAGAGAGAGAGAGAGGAAATGAAATTTTGGGTATATGAATGATAGATAAATGAACAAATGTAGCGTTGTACGTTTGTTTAGCCTATTTTAATTTAGTAAATGTATGAGAAATTGATTAAGTATGTTAATGATTTAGGGAAGTTTTACTCTTAAATATTCGACTAATGTTATTTCTTCGACTATTTAACTATTTTACTTATAATTTTATTAATAAAATTATAATTCATCTATTGCTACGGTTATGATGAAAGGCACAGAATTTTTCAGGAATTATTTGATTTTTTTTCTTCCTCTCTGTAGAATTAGGATTGAAATTTAGCTCATTCATTGTTAAATGTATTGTGGTTATCGGAATAAAATCTTTATAACTGCTACTTTTTGACACATTGATAATGCAGTAGTAAAAGTGGTGTAATGTAAGTATTTGGCTTATAAAGATTTCATTTTTTCTTTTTTTTCGAACTTTCCGAATATTACTTATATTTAGGTATTCACATGAGTTTTGATGGTGTTAGGAATTAATTGATTACAGTGAAGTAATCGATTAGCATCAAAGGCTACCATAAGTTTTTTCTGGCGATTACTTCTTGTATTACCTACATTCACTGAATTGTGTAATACATTTCCGACAATCACCAGGAAATGCAATTGCTTTTCCACCAATTAATATATAGTAATATGATTACTATGTGCTATCTTTGAGGTACAATAATGAGATAAGCACAATTTATAAGTTATTACAGTGTTCAGTCATAATTCTTCGTGATAGCTGTTAATGTTACCTGTTTCACAGGAAACAATTTTAAATTGTATGCATATATTAGGTATTATATTGTTTCTGAGCGACATATGAGATATTTAAATAATGTTTATTCAATAAGTTATAAAAAATATTTATATTCAAAGTGTTTTTTTTTTTTTAGCTTTAAATTATCGGAAGCATCAAGAATGATGAAAATGAGCCACTCCACATCACAGTAAATATCATTCGACAGGAAAATCACCGCATTTGCACGGCTTGTGGAATATCGCTCAATCTAAAAGTGAAAAAAGAAAAGACGGTATAAATTGTTTTAAACAATAAAGTAGGAAGTATGGTTGAATACGGTGTGAACGTCACGAATAAATTTGGATTTTTGTCTGACGATGGTAAGTACTAAAAGTTTTTATATAAACAAAAGATATAGCGATATCTGTAGTATATATAGAAATTTAGTGCATGTTGTTATTATTGTAACGTATGTGGTTTACAAAACATTTTTGTCCAATTTTTTAACAAATTACGTCTTTTTGCAACTTAATTTGAATAATTCTTAGTTTTTCTTTTTCTTATAATAAACATACCTACAATTGATCCGATATGATTTATTCAGAGAAACATTTTATTCATCAGTAGGTGAAGTGTTGAATGAAATTGTTACTTAACAAATTTTTAATTAATTGCTATTTTGGTTGAAATGATGCGCAATACAATGTTAAGCAAGTTATATTATATTGCAGAGGTGGATGATCCGGAAGTGATATTCAGGAAGGCTGAAGCTTTGAGTAAAAAAGAGGAGAAAACCGCAAGTCAGAAAAAGGCTGATAAGAATGCTGCAGCAAAAAAGAAGAAGGAAATCACTTCAGGAGCGATGATAACAGCTGTGGCAAAAGAAATTGAAGTTAAGAAACAGCCGCAACTATCAGTTGCTGGAATGAAGAAAAATGACTGTAAGCTGAAATCTGAAATGTTTTTTTGAACATGATCTTTGTGCCTTAATAATTAGAAATGAAAGATTAGATATTAGGTTTCTGATGATGGTTGGTGGAATAATACATGGCCAGTGTTTAATCAGAAGTTATGGAAGATATTAATTGATTTGTTTTTTCTATGTTTTAGGAATTGATTGCCATTTTGGATTATTATTTGTATGTCCCATTTCCATATTTATTATTTTAGTCAACAAAGAGAACAAGGAAAATCGTCCAGATGGAGAGCGTGGCCGTGGAAGAGGAAGAGGTCGTGGTGGTATGAGTCGTGGCCGTGGCTTTGTACAACAGTTTGACAATACGCGCCCAACATTTGATCAGGTTTATTGAATAGATCTGAACAAAATTCATTTTGTCTTAGTTATGTTCGAGATAATTTTTATGTTGAGCATCACAGATAAACACTGAACAAAAGATATATAAATGAAGATAATGCCATTATAAATGTATATGATGTGGTTGCTTTATATTTGCAGATTTTATTTTTATATTTTTATACTATATGGTTTAATCATAACAGTTTTCAGAATGGTGAGCGTGATGTGATGGCGGAGAGGTTCGGTGAAGGAAGGGGACGAGGACGTGGTCGTGGAAATAGAGGACGACCAACATTGTAAGTTGTCATAGAAATACTGAAATCACTAGCTAACTTTTTTTTTTTTTTTTGGTGTTTGTTCTTGGCAGTATATGTTTTTTTCCTAATTTTAGAATTTGGTTAAATTTGTATAGGAATGTTAGATTTCATTTTTCCCAAAAAGAATTTCACGGGGTAAACACTGGAACTTAATTTTTTGAGTGTTGGGATTTTGTACAAATTGAATTTCAGCCGAGGTGGACGAGGTGGAGCGCGAAATTTTGATGGAGATCAAGACCATAATATGATTGACTTACAACCGGAGTTGAATGGCAATGGAAATATTGATCAATTTGGTTGCGAACGTCAAAATTTCACGGGTTAGTTTTCGACTCAGCATATGTTTGAGAAATTGTAGAGAATGCATGGTAGAGAAAAAGCAAGGTCGTAGCTTCATCAGTTATGTGAATAAATTCATAACAGATTTTGGAATGTATCGTGGCTCATATCGAGGTGGACGAGGCGGATTCCGTGGAAGCGATCGTGATGGTGAACGTGAACGGGCTGTATTTCGTGGTGGACGTGGAGGACGCGGTGGGCGTCAGTTTGAACGAATGAGTGGATCGGATCGAACTGGCATTAAAGCATTGGATAGAAAAGATGGTTTTGGGAAAGGCAATTGGGGAACTGATCAGGATGAAATGAATGGACAAAACGAACAAATGAATGATGGTACGGAAGGTATAATTCAACTTAATTTTCATTATAGGTCGTTTAACTGCTAGAAAAGCTTTGCTAAATGACTGCTATTGTAACTATTATTATTTTATTAACTGGACAAATGTATAACATCTTTCTCTGTGAACAAATTTTTTAAATAAATTTTGGTGGAAATTATTTTTCATCACAGAAGTGAATAAGAGTACAATTTTTGCAGTTGTTATGAAGGATGAAGATTCTGCACCACGTGAAAAAACTCAGGAAGAACTACGTTTGGAGGCTGAAGCTGAAGCACGTGCTAAACAGCTTACTCTGGATGAGTTCAAGGCACAAATTGCCTCCAAGCGTTCGGAGCCTCATTTCAATATACGTCAAGCTGGTGAGGGTACCAATGATAAGGATTTTGGAAAACTTGTTCCTCTTAACAAACCGATTATGGAAGAAAATTCTGAGGAAGAAATCGTCGTCGTGGTATGTCTCTTCAACTATGTTTTTTCTTTTTTTTTTTTTTCGGATTTAATTTCTCAAGGAAATAGAATGATTCAACAATATGTGTTTTGCATTGAGGTTGTTTCAGCGTCGTGAACCTCGTACTAAGCGACTGGATATCGAGATCAATTTTACGGATGAGCAACGTGGTGGACGTGGTGGTCGTATAAGAGATGGTTTTAGAGGTGGACGCGGTTCTCGTGCTGGACGAGAAAGTCGTAATCCAAAGCAAGTGCAAACATTTGAAGTATCTGCTGATGCTTTTCCTGCACTTGGAAGTCAGTAACTCATACAAAGTTCGCATAACACGGAAATAAAACGGAGAAGAAAAATTTGTTAATTTTAAAGGGAATGAATTAATTAACTATTTGCCAGTAACCTAATTGCTTACACACAAAATATTTTAACTAAGTTTAGTATTGTATGTAGATTTTTTTTTTTATTCTCTCATGTGCTTATCTTCTTTATCCTTCCATTTGTTACAACGTTCAGAGTGAAGGAGAAGAAGCTGAGAGGCATGATATGCATTCAGGATATTTCGATGTAACGAAGATTTTCTCCTTTATTACTTTTTTTTTTTTTTTTTTTTGCTTCTCTCTGATTAGAAATTAAATCACAGAATTTTGATTGATTCTAAGTAAAATAATCTTTACGTGCTCCAATAGGCTAAAAATGTTTTGTTTCTGTTTTTTTTTTTTTTTTTAATTTTATTAGTTTTTTAAATTTTAAAATGTTTTTGTTTCTTTATCTGTTTTAACACACAAACTACGAATTATTGTCCTAATTTCTCTTTATGTTGTAAATGGTTGTTTGAAAAGAAGTAAACAAAATTTGTTGGTAGGATGATGTCCATATTTTTCTTTTTTGTTTTCTGTTTTCCATTTGGAATATTTTTCTTTTATATTAGTGAAACAGAACAAAAGTATACGAATCTTGCTTTTTTTTTTTTTCATTTTGGATTGTATTTCGAGTTTTCAGGACGAGTTTTACTTTTTCTCTGTGCAAAACAGTTGTCTTTAAAAAAAAAAAAAAAAAAGAAAATTTTTGTTGAGAACTGTTTCTGTAGCACATTATTTAATATCATTTGATTTTCCGATGATTGGAAATGGGTATATGACGTTTGTTTGGGCACAAATTAAAATTGTGGTTTAGAAAGAGGTGTTGTTGATTTTTTTTTTTTTTTGAATTTTTGAAGAAATCTAAAATATGCATTTGTTGAATAGTATTGGGATGCACTTATGATCTAAATGCATATCTTAATGCTATCATCAAATCTTATAAATGATTTTCAGTTTGTGCATTTTGTAACGATAAACAATTGCATAAGCTATTAAATTGTTTATTTTGAGGTGGAACGATTATAAAAAATGAATTTTCAAATGGTTTATTTCATAAATTAACCATTCAATATTTTCGTATGTTTGTTTATGAATAATATAAGAAAAAAGGAAAAACAAACAAACAAAATGAGTGATAAAAAAAAAAATATATTAGCACATGAAAATCTGATAAAACAAAAGAAGAAATAAAAAACAAAGGAAGAAAAGGTGATAGGTTAGCATCAATTATAAGATTGAATGTGTTTTATGCTAATTAATTTTCTTAAAGCAATTTATGAGAAATGTTTTGATTTAAAATTATAAATTATGTTTCTGAAAGATATTCTCACAATAATTACTGTTTGCTATTTTCTTTTTTTTTTTTGTAAATTGTTTAACGATTAATTAATTGATGCTTCTATTCGTCTAATTCACTTTTTGATTTGTTTTTTTTTTCTGAAATCATTGAAAGAGATGATGATAAGTTGAATGTTGCATAAAATCCTTTTATTTTATGAAACTTTTTTTTTTGTTTTATTTTCGTAAATTAATTCATTAATTTAATCCTATCTTTCATTTTGAATTAATTCATTAATTAACATGAATTTTTTCTTTTTTTTTATGGCATACAAGTGAACAATTATAAAATAAGCAAAAAAAAAAAAAAAATTATTGTATTTACATAATTTGATTAATAATATTAGTATTTAATATTCTTCCTTTTCTTTTCCCTTATTTTTACTTTTTGCTTTTGTATGTATAAGAATGAAAATTTAGCAGAAATAATATTTACAAATCAAATAATAATATTTTTATAATTTCACCTAATAAAAACAAAAAAAAAAGGAAAAAAAATCTTTAATCATTTTTTAAAAACTTTTTTTTTTTCAGGAATATTTAATTTTCAGTAATATCAGTAGTGGTATTAGCAGCAGTAGCAATAGCAGTAGTAGTATTAATATTATTAGTATTACTAGTAAGAGTTGATGATAAATTAGTATATAAAATATGTGAGATAAAATCAGATAATGATATTGCACCAGTTAATTTACCACTTTTTGGATTAATAACAAAAACACAACGACAATCTTTACGACTAAGAGCAAAATCAAGAATATGATTAACTGTATCAGTTTCTGATAAAAATATCATTGGTTGACGATTTTTAATTGCTTCAATTGTTGTTAATTTTTTGGATTGCTCCTAAAATTAAAAAAAAAAAAAAAAAAAAAAAGGGAATCGATAAATAAATAAATTTATGACAATAAATTATTTTTGAATAATTAAGAAAGAAAATACTTATATTATTAACACTTTTTTGTTTCTTCTCTAATTACTCTATTTATTCGTATAAATATTCTAATGTCTTTTTTCTTGATCTTTTTGATTAATATAATATTTTTGATCTTTTTGATTAGTATATCATTTTTTTTCCTTTTCTTTTTCTTTTAAACTTTTTTTAATTTAAATTATATGATAATAAATGGTAAAATTTAATTGTTAAATATTAAATATTAATAAATATTAATTTGATTTCAAATATTAATTATTTCAAAATTACTTTAAAACTTTTAGCATCAGCAAGAGCATAAGCGATATCTGTTTTACATATTACATCCACTGGACGATTTTCATCATCAATTATCGGTAAACTAGAGATACGATAATCGAGCATTTTTCGAGCAACCATTTCCAGATTATCATTTTCAGAAACCTAAAATAATTTTACTACTGATTAATAGTGATAATAATTACTATTACTATTGATAATGATAAGTATAATAGTAATAATGATAAAAGTATAAACAATAATATGATTATTACAATACTATTAGCATTAATAACAATGGTTTTTAAATATTGTAAATAAATTTATAATATTATGTTAGTAAAAATAATAACAACAATAGCAGCATTATCGATAAACTAGATATAAACTAGAGATATGATAATGATAATAATAAAACAGCAATAATAATAAAATAACAATAATAAAGATAAAATAATAGTAATGATGGTGATAACGGTGATAATAATAATAATAATAATACAACAATGGTGATAATAATAAAAATAATAATAGTGATGATAATAATAATGGTAATAATAATAAATAAGTAACAGTAGTAATAATAATCAATAATGATGATAATAATGATAATAATAATAACAGTACTGATAATAATAATTAATGCGATTAATTGTTGATTGAAAAAAAAAATGCAAAGTTAATTTTAAGGGAGCATTTTTTAATATTTTTTACGAATTAAATGAATCTCGTAATTTTTTTTTTTTTTTTTTGCACGATTTTTTCTTTTAAATTATTTACTTAAATTATAATTGGAATATTTTTATAGTTCATTAAAAACTGTTACTGTATTGTAAAATTTCTAATTTTACTTTATTTGAATTCATAATTAGAATAAATTTTGAGCAATGATTTTAATTTGATTTTTTTTTTTTTTAAATATGCAAATATTTGTTTTGTATGAATTTGATCACTTAAAATATGATCAAAATTATCATTCCGAAAATCCCGCGCTATCGCGGTATTCAATTATTATTCCTTCTCTTCTTTCTTATTAATACTTTCAACAATTCATCTTTTTTTCCCTTCCTTAAAACAATTTCTCTTTTCATTATTTTATCATTTACAAAAATAAAAAATAAAAAATTAAAAATAAAGTAGAAAAAAAAAATGAATTTTGCATCTTTTTTTTTTTAATGTTCTTTCTTCCTAATTTAATAATATTACATATTTATAATCACAAATAAATTAATATCTAATAATCACTCTAATTATTACATTAGCAAATTAAATTAAGCAATTAAAATTATAATCAATCATTTGAAATTAAAAAAGAGAAAAGAAAATGCATTCATATTAACTTTACCGTATGCAAATTTTTCCATGTTCCAATGTTTGATTTTTTAATATCCCAATCAAGCCAAGATGCAAAGTGTAATGAACGATTCTGTAAATTATTAAATTTTTTCTTTTTTTTTTTCATTTTTATTATTTCATTATAATTTAATTTCAAAAAAAGGGCAAAAGTAATAGCTAAATTTTAATTTAATCTAATTATTATTTATTAAATTATATCTAATATTAAAATGAACGATAATTATTGTTAAGCTTTGTTAAAAATAAAATTAATAATTGCTTAAATTAGCTAATAACAAACATTTTATGCAAATTTCAATTCATTGAAAAAAATTTTTCAAAAAAAAAAGGAAAAAATCATTAAATTAAATTAATTAATTTTAATTAATTTAACCTGTTTATGAACTGCTTGTAAAATTCGTTTAATAGTAAGTAAATAGAGTACATCACCAGTTTGATCTGGATAGATTACTATTCGATGAATACGATTAGAGCAAAATTCATGACATGCTTCTAATAATCTCAAATAAAATTTTAAATTAAAAAAAAAAAAAAAAAAAGAAAAATAATTTTTATCAAATTTATATATATTTAAAACGAAAAAAAAAATTCTTTTTTCTTTTTAATTTATGAAAATATATATATTTTATGAAAAAATTTATCAAATTAAAAAAAAAAAAAACAAAAAAAATTAAATAAAAAAGAAGAAATAAAATTATTTGTAAACATTTTATGCTAATTAATCAAATGGTAGAAATTAATGAAATGAATTTTATATAATTGAAATTTTATAAAAATTAAAAGATAAACAAATAAATAAATAAATAAACAAACAAACTTGCATGAACCATCAAGCCAAACTAATTGATTAGCTGAAATAGCTTCTTCAACGGTTGTTGATTCTTCGCTTGTTTGCGATAAAAGTGAAATAAGAAAATCAGTAAGCGTAAGTAACGCAATAACACTTTCACGTTTACTACACCAAACAACAACTGAACCAACGCCCCATTCGATTAACACTTTGAAAGCTTTTTGTAACTTAAAAATAAAATTATAATTTTCTTTATAAAAAAAAAAAAAAAA